CACACACACACACACACACACACAGACGTAACTGAGGATAGAGACATTGATTAAAGACAGACACACATTTTGTGAAGCTTAATCCCTGCATGTAAACATTCATACACATTTCACTCTTATGTACATAAACATGTGCGTTCATGTTGCTCTGATTTGGATGAAATTAACTCATGGGCTCGCGCGCACACGCACAGGCATAACCACACACTCTCAGAGCCAGCTGCGGTGAGGTCGTCTTTTATCAGGACCATGTGGGCCATCTGGAGCCAATTAATACAGCCCCTAAGGTACAGACTCTGGATCAGTGCTCGTCTCCTCGCACAATAACCTTTACCATGGGGGGGGGGGGGGCACAAAAAGTCTGACTCGAGTACAGCCTCATACCGACATCCATCAAACCGCGGGATGCACTGTGGACGAGCTTAAGACTCTGCTTGACTCAGATGTGACATATTATTTCTGCAAAATGCTCTACAGATTTCTTACGTCTGACGTAGAGCTGCTGGGATGAATGTGAAACACATTCAAATGATGCATTTATTCAAACTACATTCTTTGTTTTCGTCAGCTTGCTGTGTCTTTTGGCAGTCTAACGGGTATATGAAAATGAAATGGAGACTAATTGTTTAGCTGCTTTATTTCTTTTGGCCTGGCACGCTTTCATACTTCTTAATCAAAGCTTGCTTTTTTTTTTTTGCTCTCTCCCTTTATTGCTTTATTTGTCTTTTCTTGATCTCATTCTCTTTATAGTGATTTGCATGGAGTTTTGTTGGGGGGGAATGGATTCAATTACGATGTGCAATTATTTTCCAATTAATACTCCGGCTCTGGCTTGTAAAGAACTTCACCGTATTAAGTTCAGCAGAGTGCTTTAAAAGTCAGAGCACACATTTGCACAAATCAACACGGAGGCTACTGGCTCATGTTCCACTTGGCAGCCTGATCCGAATATCAGAGTACAGTGGCGCAGCAAAGGTCTGAAACCGAACCACACAGCGACTGACACGCATAACAGCCCGGGCTCAAGTGTGAAGGACCAGGGCACCGTATACAAGGGACACAGTGTAGTATGGGACCTCATTAAACGCCCCCTCACATTAAGGTGCATTTCATTTTGAGGCGATCTTTGCTGAACATGGAAAAGCAAAAGTAGAATCTGGCTTTAAATGCTCATATTATCATATTAATTGGCTTCACATTAGATTGAAACCTGAGTATCAGGCTTCATGTCTAACTTTAGAATCAGACATTCGTATTAGGTGTTGGTTACTTGTTACTAGATTTCGCCCCGTGAACAAATACAAAATGCAAACGTTTCCTCAAGTTTGAGCAATTACAATGGAGTCATCCGTAACATGCTGCTGAGTTCAAACCTCTTTGTTTTGTCCCCTCGCTTGTATTCGTACACACTGGACTCCATTCATCAATATTTAATGAACGTAAAGATTTGAAAGATGCTGAGCTAGCAGCTTATTCAATAAATCAAACGTGCATGGGAGACTGCTTTTTCAACTGCCAGTCCGGCCTAATTGGCATCGAAAGTACGTTTAAATCACAAATGAGTTTGATGTACTGTTTAATAAATCAGCTGTTGTCGGGTCTAAATACACACACACACTCCTATTTATCTAAGGCTGGAGCGTGCTGAGTCAGCTCGTTTCTTGCACTCTGCACCCTGCCGATGTGCCTCGGCTCCCAGTAAACGGGTTTCAGGAGCCCGGCTGTGGGTTGGAAGTTTCTATGTGTGACACTCGTCTCCCACACTGACAGTCATTGACTTATTGACCGAGTGTGAAGGATAAGTTCTGTTTTTGCCGGCTTGCCCTCAGCCGGGAGAAGTCCGAGATCAGGGTCAGTTACCGATCAAGTGCGTACAGACGGCGTGTTGCTCGATGACACTTCAGCGGGGCGGATGCTTTGCCAACGCCCTCGGAGCATAAAAAAGAGATGACCGTAGTTCCCATGGAAACGGCCATCGCTGGAAAGGTGTTGATAAGATGGAGGCTGAAGAGAGGGGGTGGGGGGGGGCTCCACGGCTTTTTGATTGACAGGGTCCGTGTGCATGAGTGTGATCTATGTCAGCTGTTCACAACTGTGCTGCCTGAGCGAGCGAGCGAGCGCGCACACACACACACGCACACAGACACACACACGGTGGTCTGGTTTTGGCTGAGTGAAATGCGTTAAAGAAACTGTAGCTCGTCTTTCCCCGTGTCCCTTCATCACCACCTCCTTCCCATTTTTCATTTGATGTGTTGGAGGGAAATCACAAATGGCCCTTTATCCTCTCTCCCTTTCTTCTTCTTCCTTCTTTTCTCCGGGATAGCCGGCTGACAGGATCATCATATTTTCTCACTGTCTCCCGGAGATAATCAATGCCCTATACAGCTAGGGTGGCATGTGTAATATTACACATTAGAGCAGCTCCCTTTGAAGGGTATGGCTGGGGGATAGCAGGAAGGGATGGATGGAGGGAGGAAGGGATGGATGAAAGGTGGATTAGAAGGGGATGAATGGGGACATCCCGCTGTAATCTCTTTGCTTTTCTTCCGCTTTTGGGATCTCCGTTTTCTCTTCTCCCCCCCCCCCGACCTGCGTCTCTCCAGACCTCCTCTCGTTCTCCTTCAATCAGGGGGAATCGGTCTAATTTTACTCGCGTAAGCTTCACTTACCTGCCATGGCACTGCGCCGATGAGTGTGTGTATACCACAGCTCAACACGCTTGGGGGAACATGTTGTACCCTGGCTGACACACTCACTCCCACACCGGCAGCCCTCCTCTGGGCAGACAGAGGGCTAAGTCAGAGGCTCATGTTACCACTGAGCCCATAGCACAGTGGCAGCCCAAGTCATGTCATTGCAAATTGTTCCCATGCTGATTTCTCATTATTTACATGGTCCTTGGGACACTGAGATGTGTGTGTGTGTGTCTGTGCTATACTCGAGCCTTTCTCATGCATGCAGGACCATCTCCTCAGCATCGAATATATCGGCAAAACTTCGGGGACGATCCATAATTTCAGAGGAATCTGGACAAATATGCGTTACTATAATTGTTTCGATGCTCTAATTTGCTGACGTGCTTAATGGTGACAAAAACAGCAATCCTGTTTTGCCACCCGGGCACAGTTTACAAGGAGGAGAGCTCTCTGTCATATTTATAGTAAGTACTTGTTACCGAAGTGGCAGTTTTCGTAATGTAAGGTGATGGGGTTTTATTTATCCTGTGGATTCACTGCCAGACCCTTCATTATCACACCATCAGTGAAGCAGATCTGTTTTTATTACCCTTTTATTAGCCTCATCGTTGCTGTTAGCATGCCAAAGGAGAAAGAAGATGACAAACTGATAATACATTGAGAAAATGTAAATAAAGAGAATTTAGTCCAATCACTAGAGATTACCTCTCAGCAGGAATGTATTTCCAGTGATTGTCAGTCGGACCCCCCCCCCCCCTTTCCGCGCCCCCCCCCCCCCCCCCCCCCC